GTGAAATAAAATCTCTTTATAGAGTGATTGAGAATAAAATAATTAAAGTGGTGTATCTTTTGTATCTAGTGTTTTGTGAATTTTGTATATTTAGTGCTTACAATTTTGGCCACATAAATCTCGTACAATCTCATTTTGACATCACGTCAAATTTTTCGAATAGTGTTTGTTGTAAAGCAAACTTTGATATAAAAAACATGAATTTTCATAAATCAAACGATCAAATTTTATTGAGATTTCGAAAAGATCTCTACAATATTGTTATAAACTATTGTCTTCTTCTCTAGAAGAAATTCTGGTCAAGCCTGTCCCTTGTTTTCGGATTATGGTTCCTTCATTTTGCCACCATTTCTTGACGTTCAGTACAGTAGCTTTATTTATGTGCAATTATTCTGCTCTTTGTCTAGTGTATAACCACTTTCTAATTTTGCTATAATTCTTACCTATTTATCAACTTGCAAAAGTTTTCTTGCCAATTGCTCAAATACAAGGTGATTCACGAGGAATAGTGAGCCTGACCAAATTCTCGATGCAACCACCATTACTCTTCGCAAGTTATTTTGCGACAACTGTAATGTTGGTTGCATCGAAAATTTGGTCAGGCTCATTATTCATCGTGAATCACTCTGTATAATTAATAAACTTCACTTTGACATATTAAATTATAAATTACAACAAAACAAAAATTTAAATGACATTTTGTACGAGATTTATGTGGCCAAAACTGTACATTAGACGCAAGCCTCGTAATGTTGTGTGAAACACCCTGTATAAAAATGCAAAATTATTTATAAATTTTCTTCTAAAAAAGGTACAGAAAATTGTGCACAGTTTCAACGAAAATTAAGATTTTTTACAAATCGTCTATAGCTTTGAATTAACAGATTGGAGTTAACTACTCTTTTTATTTATTCAACAAATTTAACATTAAAAGGCAGAACCCGCAAAAAGTGTGGTCCTGCTGAAACACATCGGCATGCAAACGTCCTGAATGTTTAGATGGGACACATTATCCAAGTTAATGACAGCAATTAAAGTAATTTATCGGAGAGCACTTGCCGTCAACACGAGCAAATTGAAAGGGGTTGCTGGCCGCTTTCATCGACTCAACCCATGTGGTTAACTGGGATTTTCTCCGCTTAATTTATACCGTACGTAACGCCACATGTGTTATTTGCTTCGACGATATGTCACGGCCTTTCTGATGGTTCAGTTTTATGGGCAGGGCCACCATGTTTGTTTTGGAAATTAGCATCCCCCTACTTTAACGCTTTGCTGATTTTTGATATAAGTAATTCTAATGCTTTTTGCGAGATTAGAAGGGGCGGATTCAGCCAATTTCTACAAGCCGCACACATCCACCTGATCAACATTACAAAACGAAAATAGATTATGTAATCTGCTTCCACTTCGTTTGCAATTGTTATTAAAACAGCTATAAAAGACGAACAACTCGATGACTTTCAGCTGTTAAACTTTATAGCAGATAATGGAATTGCATTGTACCGACTCTAAATCAACTTAAGGGTGCCTTGAATCCTATTCACATGATATTTCAGAATTACACCAAAATCGGACGAAAGCAACGCAATTTCCATAAAACATTGCTCGAATGCTAGTCACAATATACATAATGCAGTTGTACAAATGATGTAATACATTTCATTCATGCAACTGTTAATTTTTCTGTTGGTAAATAAATATTTAATATCTTGCAAATTAATGGGGCTTGAAAAAGAATTCTCTAATTCTGAGTGTGACGATAACGAAATTAAAACATTTGGTAACTAATGTAGGGAAACTTTTATATATGAGTTAAAAAAAAACAAATACATTATACACGGTGTTCCGTTTTTATTGTTAATATTTGAACAGGTAAAAGAATATTCAATTTTAAGACAAAAGTTTCCTATAAACATGTAGCAAAACATGTTTTGTAAAGGAGCTACACCCTCATAAAGGGGTGCGTTTTTAATGGGGTTGTATCGAAAAAACGAGAAAACTTTTTTTTGTAAAAAACTATGGAATTTAAAATTTTGCTGCTGAAAGTGGCAAGAACCTTCAGCCAAAATATTTAAGAGTTTTTTATCCTAACCCCCATTTTTAACTTAATTTGCTAATTTTTTGGCCCATTTGAGTGAAATTTTACTTGAAAAAG